AAGCAGTCTCACTTAATGACTGTTGCAATATGCAACCATAATTGGCAGGACATGACAGGTGTGTCTTGAGGACTTTTCTATGCTGGCTGAGGAATTCTGGGCCTCAAAATCTGGATGAATCCAAGGCAGAAGACTGAAACTCCACATGTGGGAATTATATAATCAATACACGAAACTACTACCCCAGGATTTTTGAGGAATTCCACTTCTGCAAAAAAATATCCAGTAACTGCTGCTGCTAACATGAGACGGAGTTAGCCTTTTTCCATTTTCTTTTTCCCTTCACTTACAAGAGAAATCCCGAGAAATGTTTGAGTAAAAAGATCTGCCTTATGGATTGTCCAAATGACTTCCTAGATTCCCACTGATTCCTAGATATTTCCCTCTTTTTCTGAACTAGGAAATGATATCCCTTGATGTTTGATATATTTCTTCCATATAGTCTGTTTTGTCCAGCTCAAATAGGAAGAAGAAAACGTTTGTAGTTTTCCAGAGGAGCTAATAAGATTTTGATTGCTGCCTTGACTTGCTTTGCATTTTAATGCTGCTTGTGATTCTCAGGTCTCCACAGTGCTCCCTTTGACATTCAGAGAATCATCAGGGAAGTCAGACAGATCCTCTGTAATGTTATGATTTTCAAAGGCTACAAGCCCACTGGGGTCCAGGGAGCAATGATGTCGCACAACTGAAGGCTGCTTTAGAGGTTGTAAAGTTACGAGGGAAATCCTACCTTAGTTTTCCAGTTTCAAATGTCCTAATTTCCTTCTCTCAAAGTGGCAGGGATGGAGAAGACCATCCCCGAATCTGAAAAGAATGTCAGTCAAAACAGATCCAATTTAACCAGTCGAATTTTTTAACTGTGCCTAAGGAAATGCAGTACTTTTTTTAAAACAAGTTTTATTAATTTTCCATTTTTACAAACCTTCGGGTATTTAAGGAAGCAACATGGTGGTTGGGTAGTACATAGTCCAATAACACGCTTATCCATACATATATCAGTTTACATCATCAAAAAGTTCCTCTGTTTCCCTTAATCATTATGCCAAATTCAAATTAGTAGGTTGCTAGTTATAACTCAATCATTTAAAACTTTTATAAACAACTTTTAGATTATATATCTCCAAATCCTGTTTTTAACTTTTGTCTGGTTTCAATTAGA